CAAGTTATAACTTTAGTGGCAGAAGAACAATGTTTTGTTCATGATTTAAGTTCTAAATATAGAACACACACACACAAATCATATATCTCCATCCTTAGGGACCTCTAAGGTGATATTTAAAGGACTATTAATGTAAAAAATGAACAAGTGTAAAGAGCAACCCAAGAACAAGTCAAGAAAACAATTTTGCTTTGTGAAATACAATCTCTTTTTGGTTTCGACCGTTGTAACTTCTTTCACTAACCCTGTATTTTTCATGTTTAAAGCAGTTTCAAGCAAAATAGATTTCATGTATATATGAGCTGTTAATCAGCCCAGAGTATAGACATGTTGCTCTCTTTTTAGAGAAGGAAAGACAAATGACTTGTTTATAGGGTTTAAAATGGGAAGCTGTTTTTGCTCTGTATTTGGCTAAAATTGGGAGCAGTTTTAAATGTCTTATATTTCCTAGACATTATTTCTATAATTGTTTATTTAAAGCACTTCTGTATTATCACATTCACAAATAAATAAATAAATAATTCCCCACCCTTCTGGTTGGGTTTCCCCAGCCACTCTGGGCAGCTCCCAACAGAAAATTTAAAAAGTAATAAAACGCCAAACAGTAAAAACTTCCCGATACAGGGCTGCCTTCAGGTGTCTTCTAAAAGTTGTGTAGTTCTTTATCTCCTTGACAACTGATGGGAGGGCATTCCACAGGGCCTTCTCAGTAGTGGTGCCCACCCCGTGGAATGCCCTCCCATCAGATGTCAAGGAAATAAGCAGCTATCCTATTTTTAAAAGACATCTGAAGGCAGCCCTGTTTAGGAAAGTTTTTAATATTTAAAGCTGTATTGTTTTTAGCACTCAATTGGGAGTCGCCCAGAGTGGCGGTGGAAACTCATCCAGATGGGAGCAGTATAAATAATAAATTATTATTATTATTACTGAGAAGGCCCTTTGCCCGGTTCCCTGTATCTTCACATCTCACAGTAAGGGAACAGCCAGAAGGCCCTCGGAGCTGGACCTCAGTGTCTGGGCTCCGCTTCTTCAGGTACACTGGGCCAAAGCCATTTAGGGCTTTAAAATTCAGCACCAACACCTTGAATTGTGCTTGGAAATGTACTGTATTGGGAGATGTATGTCTTTGGGCATTTCGCAACAATGTTAAAATACTTATCAAAATTGTAAAACCCAGGAATAAGAGTCAACTAAAAATGTATGGTAGAGTTAAAATGATAATATATTGAGATCAGGCACCAGCAAAATGCCTGGGGATGCAAATGTGTCAAAAGATTCCTAAATGTCAATGGTGGGGGTGCTCAGTGAAGTTTAAAGGGAAGGTAGTATAGGTATTGATCGATTGTCCATTGTGATCAGCTAAGACAACAGTGAGAAAGGTCCTCTTTCAGATATCCAGACCCCAAGTTGTTTAGGACTTTATGGGGAAATACTCAAACTTCAAAAATGGCATTCAATGAGTTGTGTGCTGAGGTCCCCAAAACACCCCTACCCCAATAACTCACACAATACACAAATTTTTGTTTAAGGTTTTTGGCATAATTTTGGCCACAACTTTATTAACATACAAATTGTGAGTGGTTGCTTAGGCATTGGTTATGACTAGCTGTCCCCCCCCCCCGCCTTGGGGGACAGCACTGACTCCCGGATTCCAGCGAGAGTCAGTGTGGAGGAACAAGATCAGGGATAACTGGAGCTGCGACACAGACCCTCAGCTACTCCCCGCATGCTCCTAGGAGCTTACACGGCCCGCACCCTGCACCAAGGGTTTGGACGAGAGGATGGTAAGCCCCTGAATCCCTTTAACGGAATTCCCATGCAGCAGCAGCATTGGAGGGGCAGGCACAGCCAATCCATACCCCTCCACCAACCAATTTAACCAATGCCTAACCGCCACTCGAGCCCTTACGCTCGCCGCCAACCACTCACAAATTCAACCACACCCTCAACTTAGACACCACTGAATCCAACCAAACATCATTCCCAACTGAGGAAAGATGAACCCCATCCGCCCTATACAATTCAGTGGCCTTGAACGTAATAAGAGGGTGAGGAATCACAAACCCGCCCAAACCAACCACCAACTTGCCTGCCACGGAATTAATCCGCTTCCTAACTCGCTCAGTGGCAGCTGGGCAGGGACTACCCCGCCAAATGCGGCGTTGAAGCAATTGTGACCAAATTATTTTAGAAGCAGGCACCATGGCCGCCAAATCCCCTAGATCCTGTAAAATGGCAGCACGCAACCCATAACAAGAAGAGGAAACCATATCATTTTCCCTGAGCTGCACCACGATCGCCGTAGGAGGGCCAACCAGGAGAACGCGCCTTTGCATGAGTGGTAAGAATTCCCTCCACAGCATCCCCCTTCTGGAAATCCAGGACACCTGCACGTGCTGCGGAAGGCCCAGGCCATCTCCCAATCCGGACTGACGAGCTCTGTCAGCAGCCCAATGCACAATACTGTGCCCCACTATCCAGATACGGATAGTGTCCAGACCTAGGGTTAAAACACAAAATGTAAGTACACAATTCCACATTATTTCCGCACATAAGCTCGGAATGCATCCGACTTCCACCGACCCAGGTCTCTTATCCTTTCCACCGATAAACCCCAGTGGGCAGCTGTTGTTGCAGCACCAATCCGGAAGGAGTAAGGAGCAAACTCCGAGGCCGCATGGCCACATGCCGCAACAACTTTACGCAACACCTTAGTGAACTGATGCCTTACCAATGGATGCCCGTTTTCATGAATAAACAGGGGGCCCTCACCTGCAGGTCGCAAGGCCAAATATTTCCTGAGATCTTTCACCGGGCAAGGGCCCCTTTCCCCAGTTGCCGGGAGCCTAATAACTGCTCCTCTGCCTAGCTGATCAGTCTTTGAATTTCTGATATTAACCTGCAATTCTAACGGAGACAGACTCACGTCCTGCAGCAACAAGCCCCTAGAACCTCCATCCCGCTTAGGTTCAAGGACCACCTCCCCCACTCTCAGGGCCCCAAAGAAGGCTAGTGAGAAGGCTGCGGAAAATAGTCGAGCCTCAAACTTAGACCAACAGATGCTCCGCAGTTTACTGCGCATCTGTGTCAGCAACTCGAATGTGATGGGCCGCCTGGGAATAGGCCTAGAAGGAGAAAGTCGCCCCCATCCCTCCAGTGCCCTTCGCACCACAAACTTCCCACATGGATCCTTGTTAAAAAAATGCCCTGCTAAAGAAAGAAATTGCCGCTGAATGAATCCTCAGCATCCTGGCCGCCTGCCGAATCTGGAATAGATGCGCCAAATACTGGAGCACCTGAGAGGTAGAATGGGGGGCAGTAACCTCCCCTGCAACCGACTGCCCGTTAAATAATAAAAAATCAGTCCAGGCCTTTTTATAAGACCTCAGAGTGGAGGGGGCAACAGATGCAGCTACTCCCTGTAAAACTAAGTGCTGCCAGGGTTCCAGAGATGATCCGGGAAAATTTCCGGACGGTCTCAAGCCACTGGCACCAGGGACCTGAATCACTCCATCTGAAAACGGGACAGAGCATCAGCAATCTCGTTAGATATGCCTGGAACAAAACGAGCAGAAAATACAATATTAAAACGCAAGCAATGTAAGACAAAAGCCCATAACAGTGCTGATACCCTAGGGGATCGTGAAGACTGCTTGGCTAGCACGTTCACCACCGCCTGGTTATCGGACCAAAAACAAACTCGATGGTCCCTGAAATGCTCGACCCACAAGTGCACGGCCACTACAATGGGAAAAACTCAATAAAAGTTAGGTCCCGAGTTATAGCTTCCCCACGCCAAGCAGGAGGCCAGCGCTCAGCACACCACCTACCATCCCAGAACAGGCCAAACCCCAGCGACCCCGCTGCGTCAGAGTGCACCTGAAAGTCATTGTGGAGGTTCAAAGTGTCCTGCCACAAGGACACCCCGTTGAATTCCTCCAGGAATTCCAACCAGATACGAAAGTCAGCCTGCACCTGACGAGAAAGGCGCACCCTATGCCGCAGGGCCTGCAAGCCCGAGGTGAGTCTGGCCAAGCGGGAGCAGAATGGTCGCCCAGGGGCGACCACCCTGCAAGCAAAATTCAAGTGACCCAGCAACGACTGCAGCTGTCGCAAGGTAACCTTCTTCAAGGGAAGCAGTTCCTCAATGACCCTTTTTAAAGTGGTTATCTTATCTGCCGGCAAGCTGGAAGTTTGGGCCACGGTATCCAACAAGATACCCAAAGAAGTCAGTTGCGTAGAAGGACCCTCAGTCTTCTCTGCCGCTAACGGAACACCCAGTTCTTCCGCCAAGGAAGCAAAGGCCTGCAATAACACAACGCAGTTCCCCGTATTGTTCGCTGAGGCCAATAAAAAATCATCCAAATAATGTGTGACTCCGCCCAAACCAGTTCTTTCACTCAAAAGCCGCACAGGCCACAGAGCAGCCCATGGGCATGGCCTTATCAAAGTAAAATCCTCCTTCAAACTGAAAGCCTAGCAACCAGAAATCATCGGGATGAATTGGAAGCAGCCGAAATGCCGATTCAATGTCGCATTTGGCCAGTAGGGCACCAGGCCCAAATTTCCGTATCATCTTGATCGCGTGATCAAGAGAAGCATACTTCACCGAACAAAGCTCCGGGGGAATCACGTCATTTACTGACGTGCCTCTAGGATGAGAAAGGTTATGAATTAGGCGGAATTCCCCTGGGGCTTTCTTAGGAACTATACCCAAGGGTGAAATATGCAAATTGGGAAAAGGGGGAACGGCAAAAGGACCGGCCATACGATGTAAAGCCAGTTCTTTTCCAATTTTCTTACGCGCCACTTCTGGCATGTCCTTAACAGATTTCTGGTTCGCAGGGTTCCTAGCTATAGGGGTCGAGACCACTGGGATTCTGAAACCTAAAGAAAAACCATCACGCAAATAAGACGCCAATTCACTATCAGGGTATGATTTTAATAATGACAGTAACGGCTGTAGCCGTACCGGGGTATAGGCTAAGGAGGATAGGATATTACTTTCCTGCTCCAGTGGCTTGAACCTGGGGAGCGGCTTTTGGGGGCTGCTGAGAGCCCCCTCCTTTACGAAAGGGCCGCCGGCCCCCCGCACAAGCAGATGCCGAATGGTTCCCTGAGCACTTCTCACACACGTGTGAGTACTTGCAGGGTTGCCGTTGGCAGACACCCTTATTGAAGTCCCAGCAAAACAGCTTGCGACCCGCCTTTGCAGGGACGGCCTTGAATTTTAGCGGATCAGGGGCCTTCTTGTCAATACGTGGGGCCACGTAAGTGGTCCAGACATCCAAGTCCTTCCGATCCCAGCGGGCTGTGGGGATCTTCGCTGCTCTACGTCTAAAATTCTGGTCATAAGACAACGCAGCAGTCTCTCCGGCCATTGTGAAGGCCAAACGGACTATAGACAGATACACCCATAAGTGCAAAGATCTCCTGGGATAGGCTGCTGAAACCACACCAGCAAAAACCTGGAAACTATCTAACCAGCATTCAAAAGTCCTATCCGCTTTTCCTATGAACGCCCGTTTTTTTGAGGCAGGAAAGCCCCTATCTAAAGGCTCCTGACCGTCAAGCGGAGGGGCCAGGCTAAAAATATCAACATAACGGCCATTCAAAATCCTGGACCTCAATTTGGCAGACAAGTGGGCACCAGGAATAAGATCCCTAGCCGAATTGGTGGAGACTTTTACGTCAGGCACCAAGACCCCTTCCCGACACTCTTGCACCGCCCCATACTTAGCCCTATGGGAATTCGCCCTCCGCTCCCAAACCCACTTTGGGAGCCCCGAGGTCTCCCCGAAGCCCCAATAAAGCTTAAGGGAAGCTTCCTCATCGCTACTGGGACTCTGGGAAGAGGTACCTGTAGAAGAGGACGAGGTGTCTCTCCGTCTCCTCTTGGCGCGCCTCCTGGAGCTCTTTTTGTGGCGGCGGTGCCCACCAGAAGAGGTCTTTGGAGGTGGAGGAAGGCTGTCCTCAACCGAAGACTCAGATACATCGCCTTGCTGCACTGCACCTGGAACTGACTGAAAAGAGACAACTTGTGAATGACCCGGAATCGAACTCCCCCCTACCTACTGAAGACTGTGCAGGTGAACCCCGCACAACATGGCCCCGGGCTGATGCCCTCCTTCTGGCCGCAACCCTGGTACGACCCCGACCCCTTGGCACGGCAACCTGCGACACAGGTAAGACCAGGGACCGGGCCAGTTGCGTGTCAGGTAAGAAACCACCAGCTGACAATGGTTCTCTCTCATCTTCACTAGATGATAACGCTGGAGAAGAGGCACCCGCAGGAGGAGCCGGCATCGCAGATGAGGTCGACGGGGTTGAGCAGCGGTGCATCAAGCCATCCATCTCCGCCTCCACCCTTGCCAGTGCCACTGGGTCACCAGCCAAGCTAGAGACCATGGATTGGAGGTGTTTCAATGACTGGCCAGGCTCAGGAGAACGTAAGGCCTGGGACGGGCCTTTTATAGGCCGTTTTGCAGAGAGGGCGGGACCAGGCCTCCTTGTTGCCTTCTTTGGAGCCATTCCTACTACTGGTGTAAAACAACAAAATTAATTAATGAGAAATTATATATAGCTGAAGTAAAGTTAGGTCAACAAAATAATTAAATAATTAAAATAACCAGCAGGTAAGTGACAACCCAACCGCCACTAAATTATACAATGGCGTGGCAACAATTATAAGTAGCTGGAAAATACCATAAACCACCAGGTGGCAAAGCGAGCAATTCAATAACCTGCAATATACAAACAGCCACTAGAGGCCACCACCTAGGGTTGGATATGCCCTGCCCTTACACAGCGCGGCCACTAGAGGCCACCACTCCACTTCCAGCAGACCCTGCAGTTACAGGGCCTGGCCACTAGATGCCGCCACTTGACCAGGAAAAGAGATAAAATGGCGCTCCCGCCAAAATGCCTCAAAATGGAGGGCCTCCAACCGCCCCCCCAACCAATGCTCCCAGAAGCCTTGAAGGTGGAAAGGGGGGCTCGATTGCTGCCGGAAGCCCTAAAATGCAACCGGCTTGTTGGGGCTCGCACACAGCTCACCCGGCCCACAATCGAAACACGGAGGCGCCGCGGACCAGCGGGAGCCCGCAGCCGCCGCCCACGTCGAAATGGAGAGGGCAGCCAGAGAGGCCCACCCCGGAGCGAAGTAAGTCGCCCCGCCGCCCGGACGGCCTCCTCCGGTGCCTCCGGAGGCCCGGGAGAGATGCGGGGGGGGGCAGAAGGAGGAGAAAGGCCCCAGCCAGGCCACACCAGGCCGCGGGGCGATCCCCGGCGCCCGCAGGCCCCCGTGCGGAGGGCAGGCGATTCCCGGCGCAGCGCGGCCTTCAGGGTCCCACCAGCCCCGCAACGCGCACAGCACCCGGGGATCGGAGCCGGCTGCCCGCGATACCGCGAGGCAGGCAAGGGTTGATCCCCTGGCCCGGGTCCTGTAGCTCGGCCGAGAACTGGGCCGTAAGCCGCCCGGGACCAGGAGCCCCTTCCCCCTGCCTAAGGGCAGCCCAGTGTAATTACCAGCACCAATAAAAGGGGTAGGTGACAGGCAAAAGGATAAAATAAAAGAGAGGAATAATAGTAAATAAAATAATAAGGGGAAAGGAAGAGAGAAAAGGGGGAAACCGGGGAGAAGATTATACAACCAATCTCTCGCTGAATTCCCTCCGGTGCTGATCCACAGCGAAAGAGAAAGGAACATGCTGTGAGCCTTGTTTAAATAACCTCTGATCCCACCCCTAAATTGGCAACATCAAATTTACCCCAGTAACACCAACCACCAATCTGATCCAAGCCCCTTGAATCTATCTTGCCTGGCAACCGTGGGGTGTTTTGTTTGGCCCCATCCGCAACACGTGCTCTCCTTTAATGAGAACACGCTATCACAAAACAGACTGCTGTAAGGAGCCACCCTCAGTAGCGAGTAGAGATGGGAAAATCTGTTGATTTCAGTTTCTCATTTTTCCAACCTGAAGTTCAGTTCACATTTCCACACCAGTTTTTGGTTTGTTTCTTTTTCTTTTCTTTTTTAAAAAAAATCAATTCTTATGAAAATTCCTTTGCAATTTTGTGCAAATTTCTTGTAATGGACATGCTTGTGTGTAATCTCAGCCAATATACACATTTTTGTAGAGCAATTTCTCCTACTATGATGCATATTTGTATGTTATTTCCACTAACATACGCAATTCAAGGCACATTCTATTTCAGTGCATGCCTTTTTGTGTACGCATTCCTTGGCTGGAGAACTGCATTTGGAGAAGTGCAAATTTTGAAGGCTGTGGGTTTTTTCGTAGGTTCACCTTTATTTATGGTTGCAATACATCTGGGAAATCCCAGACATGTCCTGTTTTGTGGGGTCTACAAGCCCATCTGGGGGGATTATTACAACTGTAAACAAATGTCCAGGTTGGGTTAAAAAAATTCTTAGTGTGTGCAGGCGGCTTGGGTTCAGCCTTGAGCCCGGGCTCTGGTATTGAGCAGCTCTGGGTCTGTTTCAGACTTGGTGGTAGCAGCCAGGGGTGTGTGTGTGAGAGAGAGAGAGCTCAACACCTTTGTCCTGATTTTGATCCCTGAAATATGGCAACCCTACTTTAATAGAGAATCTAATTTCTCCCACATCCCTATAAGAGCATCTGAATGATAATGCCATTCAGATACAACTCTTTAGAAACCAACTTGAATGCTGCCTGCAACCTTGGCTTTTCTGTCGCTTACCATTGACACCATTTCCACTGAGGGAAATTCTATTCATAAATAGTTCTGATTCTGTAAACATTGTCCCACAAGGGCAAAACATGGCAATGCTGAAACTGGAAAAAAGCAGTCCTAGCCAGCACAGCAACTTGAACCCCTGGCTGTTGTGGGCCCTTCCACCTCCAAGTTGCAACATTGCAGAAGTAAAACACAGTAGGCAAATGCTGTCGCTAATCTGAGGGCAGCTGGATTTCAAAGCTTTCTGTTAAATCGGGTCCTCCCTTGAAGAGGGCACGTATTGCGGTGAGACCTGGAAACCGACACCCTGTGTTGTGGGTGGGTTCGATTGGTCAGCCACAACACCCGATTGGAGGTCCCTCAATGCTGGGTTCAACTGGAACAAAGGTCAGAGTCCAAAGGGATCAAGGGACCTATTTATGCCCATGCACGTGACCCAGAGCTTCCTCTTTCAGCTTGTGCATCGGAATACCCGCCCACCTCTCCCTATTTTTAGGGCTTTGCACTTGACCTTGCTATGCCGTCATGTGTCGTCTGTCGTTGGGACAGGGGCACGGCAGGAATTTCCCCCACTTGGCTGATTGGCTGCTGCCATTTGGGTTTCGCCTGCAGCGTAGCAAATTGTCACAACTTGTAAGGTCGCGGATAGGCACTGGTTCAGGTGATAGGGATGTGAGAACGTTCTCGCCATCCCTATGAGAAGGGTATTCCATTAAAGGAATCCAAGGACTTGATGGTTTGGTCCACCCCTGAGAGGGGGACATTTGGGTGGTGGAGACAGCCTGTTCCTGGCTTTCCACTTATTCAGGTATTCACCCTTGGCTGACCTATGCTGCAACCCTGGGTCAGCACTACCTGCAAGGGTGTAGGGAGCTAGTCGAACCAGAGCCTATACAACCACTCACTTTCTGTAAACATAAAGTTGTGGCTAAAATTCTGCCAAAAATCAAAACTAAAATTTGAGTCAAGTGTGAATTTATTTAGGAGGAGGTTTCTGGGTCTTCATTCTGTTTTTTAGGATACATCTCCCACCCACATCTCATCTCATTTGCAATACCTGTATATTGTAGTATTTCAAGTACATAATCCATTTCATTTGCACAGAATCACATTATGCAATCAACAACAACAACATTTTCCTTTGAAAATCTCCACCCAGAACAATGATCTTAAATAAAATAAATAAATTGCTAATCTTTGAAAAGTGTATTCATTGGAGAATTAATATTTTGCAGGTCCCCCCTTCCGAAAAAAAGTCAGTGGATTGCTTAATTTATGAGTTAATTGCTATTTTAAAATATGGATGTAAAAATTACATTTTAATTAGAGCTCTACCCAGAGGGTATTTAAGTTTGATGGTACTCGTGTTGTCATAGAGGAAGGGCTGTAGTTCAGTGGTAGAATACACATTTTGCATGCAAAAGGTCTCAGTTCCCAGTGTCTCCAGGTAGCGCTGGGAAATATTCCTGTGTGAAACCCTGATAAGCCACTCATTATAGACAGGGCTGAGCTAGATGGATCAAGTGGTCAACTTGGTGTAAGAGTTCTTATATTCTGAAATTATATCAGTTTAGGTATGATCCCCCCCCCCCCAAGTAATCCATGAATTATTACATAATGGGAGAGGCGGTCCTTGAGGTATTGCGGTCCTGAGCCATTTAAGGCTTTCTAGGTCAAAATCAGCACTTTGAATTGGACCCAAAGAACTAATTGGGAGCAAGTGCATTTGGGCTAGATTGGCATTATATGCTCAGACCATCTTGCCCTGGTGAGCAACCTGGCTTTGGAATTCTGCACCAGCTGAAGTTTCCAAACCATCTTCAGAGGCAGCATATAATGCATTACAGTCATCTAACCTAGGGGCTACCAGGGCATAGAAGACAGAAGTTAGGCTGTGCCTGTCCAGACAGTGGCACAGCTGGCCCACCAGCCCACTCTGATGGAAGGTACTCTGCACCACCTGAGCCTCAAGCAACAGCAGTGGATCCAGAAACCATGGAAGGGGAGAGTTGAGAGCTCTTGCGCTAATGTTTTGCTTGCTGATTTCCCACAGGCCTCTGGTTGGCTACTGCGAGAACAGAAATGCTGGAATAGATGGTCCATTGGCCTGATCCTGCAGGTTATTCTTATGCTCTTAATTACCCGCAAGCTACGAACTGGCTCCTTCAGAGGGAGTGTAACTCTGTCAAGAGCAGGAATTCTCACATTCCAGTGAGGCATAAAAGCCGGCAGCAACTTCCATCCTCAGTGCAGTTGGCAGAAAAAGGGTATCTCTATACTTAGACACCTGCCCTCACAATGGCCTTTGCCCCATGAAGGACACCAGAAGGTTCTTGCAGTTAAAACCTTCATGCAGTGCCTGCTATTGGTGCACAAAAATAGTACAGCTCTAAGTGGCAATTCACCACAGTACTGTGAAAAGTCATAAGGTTGTGTGGATGGACCCCCCAAAGATTATGTGGGTCACTCCTTCCACAGTGGTACAGCTACCACAGCATACAAATGGGGTCTAGGAGCAGAGCACATTAAAATATTTGGGCAACGGATGTCTGGAGCATATAAGAACTATATATGTCCATACAACCCCTCACTTAATGAATCCTTTCAATAATTCTCTTTCAGGTAACCCAGGCAAGGACATTTGGATCGTGGGCCACCGTATTTTCTACTGGGCGCAATGGCATGCTGAAGCATCATCCTGCATGTATAAACTATTCTTTTCTTTAAAAAATCCACAAGGCATTGTGGCATCTGACCAAGTGTTGTGAAGGGCACTCCATTTCCCATCCTGATATAAAATTTGATAAGTTCAACCTTTCCCTGCCTATCTCCCGCAGGGAACAATGCGTTTCAGGGTATCTCTAACTGCGTGCAGCTGTAGATAGTTTGGGTGGTGGTTAAGGCATTGGGTGGAATCCTAGTCTTCAAGCGTTGGAGTGAAGTGGTGCATCACCCTGTCCTGAACCAGTGGCATATTTAGAGTTCCCCATTAGAGGTGGATGTCCCTGGCCAAGTGTGGGGCAGACGTGCCATAGGGCTTCCAGCAGTGGCCTTAGGATGGCCAACTCAGTAGATTGATGTCTTGGGGAGGCCATAATCCTGGCATGCACGACCCTGCAGCGCTTCCAGCTCTTTGGAGGGAGGCTGGAATTGATATGCCCCCAACGCCTGAGCCAAAATCCCACCTACATCTGTAATCAAGTTGTGGCCATTTTTAATCCAGTTCAATGTCTGCCTGAGTTATTAATCATGTCTTACACTGACATAACATGGTGGTATTGAGACATGACACTGCAACTGGGCCCGCAATGTCAAATTGCCTAGCTTCTTCCATTGTCTTTGCTTTCTTACAAAATCTTCCAGAATGGCTCTTTTTATGTGCTTTCTTCTTAGGCTGATACAAAAGCAAATCTTCTGCCATATTATCTGGTACCTTTTCAGAAACCCCTGGAAACAAATGATTGTTAAGGTCTAACAGAAGCTTTGAATAAGACAAATCAAAATCTCCCCCCAGTGTTGCAAGAATTTGATCTTTTCATTTCTGACAGGCAAGGCTGTAATAAAAATTATAATAATGATGACTGACATAATAAAATCACTTATTCTAGAGTAATCCAACCAGGATTGGAGGTCCCATTGAAGTCAAAGGGGCAGCTTCAAGCAAAGGGGTTGAGGATCATAGCCAATGACAGTTTCAGCCCCAGGCAATTACTTGGTTCCTTTTTCAGCAATAGAAAACTTAAATGGTTTCCCATTTGAGGAAATGCTTTGCAATTTGCTTTCTTTTTTTCATAAAAGAAAACCACCCTTTGTTCATGGGTGCACTATGGCCGGTGAAGGGGTCTTCTTGGATACATTTCAGTCAAGATGTGTTTCCTTGCATTATTTATTCCTTCATCTATTATATCCCTAAGACTAATGTCTGAAAAGTAAAGTGAAGGACAACCAAAGGATCATGATGGGAAACCACATGGGATCAGAAGTTTCAAATCAAATAAATGAAAGGGAGGGGGACCGACTCGCCTGAGAATACAATGCATTCCCCTCAGCTTGTGCTGGCGTAAAAATTAGCAGATGTGATCAAAATGATGGACTCCAACACATCTCAGAATCAAATCTCCTTGGCTGTTCATACTTGGGAATTATTTGTTCTTCTTGCAGTCTTTCCCTCAGCCTCAAGTGCATCCAATCAACATCCTTGTGTCGGCACCTGGGGTACTTGAGGCTTTGTGGAATTCCTTTTGGTAAAGTGTTGACACCAGATACTTCAGCGAATTTAATTATGCCAGTTGGTTTCACTTAAAAAATTAGGATACTGTGCAGTTTCTAGAAGTGGCATTTCAAAAGGAAGTTCTCTGAAACATGATATGAAGCAGGTGATAGCTTTCCTTCTAGATCACATTCTGTTCTTAAAGTATGAAGCTTGCATGTTTTGATAACGACTAGTTCCTTTAAAATGGAGATGTACCTAAACCCCTTGAGATACACTGCTTAGACTTAATGAAACCCTTTTTGTTTCCCTCAAAGGGTGCTGTCAATCACATACCCAGTAGGGAAGGCTTGTGCAACAAACCAGTTTCCCTTGAAGGTGGAACTCTTTGCAATAAGGACAGGAATGAGAAAATGCACTGGAAAGTGTGGGATCATGCTTGATACAATGTTATCACCATGCACAAATCAGGACGAATGCTCACTAAATAGCCTTCCTGCAAACAAATCAGGGTGAATCCTCAATAAACAAGATATTTGGAATGCCCAAAGTCACCTGCCTCAGGGAAATATAAGAAATGGCCCATGTCATCAAATACATATTACATCTAGGTCCTTTATACATATGGACTGGTTGACTGGTTCCCATATGCATATCCTCATCACCACTTAAGAAAGGCTGAACTTGTAAACTGAGTCAATGAAAAGTTAAAGACAACATCAAATGATTGGAAAGTGTTTATTGGGTTAATTCCACATGATTTGGTGTTGCTGACTCATGCCCCAAAATGCACCTGGCCAGAGGCACAGAGTTCCACCTGACATTGGGGGAGCTTGCTGCGTGCATGTGATGTCACACATGTGACACACAAGTCTGACATCACATGCATTGGGAGGAGGCCACAAGCCCTGGCAGGGCCCTCCACCAGTGTGAGGAGGCCCGGTGGGGCCCCTCAAGATTGGGGGGGGCTCAGTTCCATCCCCACATACTTTGGGGGGAGTTGGTGCCTATGCACCAACCGGGTGACATTCTTATCTATGTTGCTGGGCAGATTTAGCAAGTAACTCTGTGTATAAAAGGGCTCAGGTTACAGCAAACATTGTGGGTCATGGTGGAAGATTGCAGGAATGGTGGAAGGCTATCTGTTGCCGCTGTTGATTCAATTGAAGACTTTTTGAAGAGATTGTCTGAGAAGAAGTTGAAGAAGTTAGAAAAGTGTCAAACTTGAAAACTCGGAGAACTCTGTCAGTTGAATGATTCTGAGCAACTGGGCTTAGAACTTGCTAACGGCTTTTGGTTCAGCAAGGATTTTGAAGTATAGAACCATATCTGGAACCAGAGAGAGAGAGAGAGAGGCCTTCATGTAACCACTTTTTGGAGTGGGTGTATACAAAGTGAGTTTTTATGTTTGCCAAGTAAAACAATTCTGCTTAAGACAACTGTTTCATGTTGGTGAGCTTAACCACTTCACTCATAGAGTCATAGAACAGTCACAGAACTGTAGAACTGGAAGGGACCCTTAGAGTTATCTAGTCCAACCCCCTGCAATGCAGGAATCTCGCCTAAAGCATCCATGACTGATGACCATCCAATCTCTGCTTAAAAACATCCAATGAAGGAGACCACATCAGTGTGTTCCACTGTTCTAGAGAAACTTCCATGGCACTTACACAGAGAACAAGATATATAGGGAAGAGATAAACACACACTCCAACAAATTATGTATGTTACATCTGTGATAGTTAATTCAAACAAGCCAATATGGTCCTGTACAGATCTAGCCACACTAAGAACTTCAGAAAGCTCCAGGAGCTTGACAATTCTCATACTTGAGAATCAGGTCACTATTCATAAACTATGAGTCAACTACTTTGAAAACTCAGCCTAAAAATAGTTAAAATAGTTACATGTGATTTAAGCTCCCTTGAAATTCCTCTTGTTTAATGGAGTTGCCATTTTTTGCCTTCCTCATCTCTGTAGAAAACAGAAAAGAAGAGCAGAGTTTTAAGAGAGAAAAGAAAATGGGTCGATTTTGTTGCAAAAATGCATAAATGGCTGCTTTTGTGCGATCAATGTTTGTTCACTTTTGCTTCTGATGTGTGTTTCTTTAAAAAAAGGAAACCATTTGGTGCAGGCTGAAAATCATGTTAAAAGTGTTGGGTTAACAAGCACACACAAAAGGAGCACAGCAAGTAATAATAGCCCAGTTTCTTTTAGTAAGAATGTGTTAAATAAGGATGTGGAGAACATCCCTAAGTCTTCCCCCCCCCCCGCCCACATGTGGGGTTGTTGCTCATTCTTCACCCCCTCTCTGGAATATGAAAAATTCCACAGAGAATTCTCAGGTTTCTGTTGCATTTCATCTACAGTATCCTTCCCTTAAAAAGAGAGCAGAAACATGTCCAAAATGCTATTGAACAGGCATATTTTGTTTCCAGAGTCTCAAAAACCTAATCTCAGATTTGTTGGTGATGCCTATATTTTGCCATGGAAAAACTAGACACTCTCCATTTTTCTCTATAACAGTAATGGGGAACCTGTGGCTTTCAGATGTTGGAATTCAGCTCTTATCAGTGCCAGCCCCCTGATCAATGGAGAGGGGTGGAAGATGTAGTCCATCAACATCTGGAAGGCTACACGTTCCCCATCCCTGCTCTATAGCTATTAGTCTGAAGCTCTTTAAGTTTGGTCTACAGGTGTTTGCTATGGAATTGTGTGTGTATATATGTATTCTGCGAAGAACCAACAGTAGTCCTCAAGTTCAGTAACAGAAAGCCTTTAAACTTCCTGAGCATCTTTTGTATTATAAAATGAATAGCAAGGTTCCTTTGCCTTTAATAGTCAAATTTTAGGCAGCTATTCAACAAGTGCAGTGATCTTTGCTATTTCCTTCCTGGTTGAAAATGTCCTAACTTCACTGCTTGAAACTATTGTGAAGGAATGGAAAGCATTTTGATAAGAAACGCAGATACTCACTCAAGTTCACTTCAGGGGTGTTTGAAGGCATGTACACGTAGATATGCTGCTCCAGTGAGGTGAAAATCACATTATCTTTACACTCTCCCTCCCCACAAACTTCAGTTTCCATTTCTCAACCACAGCCATCAATTTTAGTCTGCGGCTTCCCTTTTTAAATATTCCACCTCCCCATGCATTATTTCTAGAACACTCAATTTAACTTAAAATTAGATCAGTAAACACAGGCCATCTGGCACTTTTCTGAGATGCAAATCTGCAAGCTTCACCGTGTCATTGGCTAAACTGCTGTGATATCACAGAGGCCTGGAGATGTTTGAAGCATGTGAAAAGGTAAGTAAATAATGGGGCAAGAGAATGAACTAAACTGAGTTCTGAATCAGGGGAACCCCAGGAAGAATGGTTTATCAAAATATTCAGTAAGAAATTAACCTTAGATGAAACCTTGAAATGGTTTGCAATGGCTGAAAATAGAGCTTCAAACAGACTTTAAAAATTCATTTGTCATTCTTTGAGTGTTTCTAGATTAGTTTCTGTATTTTAGTTTCAAAAGACAGCATAACCATGCTTACCAGCCAACTTTAGCTATAACAGGAAATGGCATCCATACCATCTATTTATTTATATTTCATACCATTGATCAAGGCCCTGTGACCACCCTGTTCCCTAAGGAGTAGAGACAACTAGAGACAACACAACATATTGGCTACAGATGTGGGGTTTGGCCATAGGCATTGAGGTAAGCGATGATACATGTCACTCCCGCCCGTCCGCCAGGAGTGTTTCTATAGGTGAAGCCGGCGGAGGGGGGGCCCTATGACCTATGTCAAATCAGGGCGTCCCCCAAGCAATCCCTGTCAGAGTAGTGGTATGACCCTAGCCCCTGTCTGGGCATCAGACAGGAGCCACTCTTCCCAGTTCCTTTTACCAGGATACCCTTACCCATGGAGGGGTTGGCAGAGGCTACAACCTCCCCTCCAACCAATGCCTATCCACCTTACAAAGTTGTGATGATTGCTATGAGGTAGGCGAAAACTCAAATGGTTGTGCCGATTAGCCAAGTGGAGGAAATTCCAGCCCAGCCCCTGAAAATTAGGTGACTGACATTGTCCATAGCAAGGTCGGACCATACCCAAACAACCCTAATCTGAGGGAGGGAGCGTGGGAGAACCAGTGTGGCGAGAAAGAGGCCGAAAGGCCCCGCCAGCTGGGCATTTAAACTCCCCCTGGCTGCAGCACCAAGGGTCGTGATTGGTTGGTTGGTCCCATGCCCAGGGGAACACCCATTAACTTCTGTCGCCAATGGTCCTGGTAAGGTACCTTCTGGTCTCTGATAGGCTGGTTTTCCAGGGAGGCCTGAGGCCCATTCGCAAAGCCGCCTGCCCAAAAATGGGGCAAACAGATTTTCTGTGCCACAAAATCTTCCCTTTCCTCCTCCTCTAAGGATTGTTCTGCCACCTCTATTTCACAGATTAAAAAAAAAACAGTGTTCAGGTGGAGATGGTAATTTGCTGGAATGGGTTCTGCAAAACTGCATACATTCACTTAATGTGTTTGAACATATTATTTACCTTGCAATTAATCTAGAAAAGCTGGCAACAGAGAAAAAAGAAAAGGGAAACACATGAAATTGGGATTTCAGGGGGCTAAGGGGGAATGAGGAAAAAAAGGTATTATTTTTCACTTTTATGAGGAAATACATAAACACGTAAACAGAAACACACTTAGAAAAAATATATAAAAAAGCTCAAAGTCTCTTCTTGATTTTTTGAGTTCTGCTTCAACTTCTGTCTTTCTGAGCTCATACGGTTCCTTTGAAAGTACATCAAGTGCCTTCCACTCTCTTTGTATCTCTGACAATTATATGCATCATATTTTATTATTTATCATTTTAGTTTCATAAAAAGTTGACCTAAACACCTGTCCTCATCTCCACCCCTTTTTAGCACCCCTGTGTGCAAGCAATATGCTTTTCAAGGGCTTTTTCACTTCTTCACGCTGATGTATTTCTTTGTGTTTTCCTTTGGGATTTGTTTCCCAACAGTCTCTTTAGACATTATGTTATAATGCTTGACTTGCTTTCCCATCAAGTATTGTTCGGTGCCTCCATGGTGTTCTCTCTTTGTTGCTGTCTCTCCAACGCAGTGCTGACCCTGCCTGCTCAGTGTGCGGGACTCATGCCTGCGAGCGCTGAGACTCAATAAGACTTATCACTGTGCCTTTGCTTGTCATATCAGCAGGCTCATCTCATCGACAGAAATATATTCTGACTGAGTAAGCCTGAGGTAGACAATGCTTAATTCTCCACTACAAAATTCTCCAGGAATGGAAGAGAAATTCTGCCAGAGGGCAGCAGTCCTGTCCCTG